TCTAATCTGCTTAAACCAGTTTGGTGTTCGCTAAGAGCCTTGAAAAACGCGTTTTGGTGACAATTTGCCCCTCATTTAAAACGGACTGGGTGGTTTTGGTTTAATTGCAGCAGCATATTCTGAAGGACATTGAGTCCTGTATTCTGGTGGTAAGATATTGATACATTGGACGTGGTGTCTGTGTTGGTACATAAGCCTGGGCATTGCTCTGTGAAACTGTGCGGACCGTTCCTTTTGGGGCAATAATCTGTCTGGCAATGTCTGTCTTTTTCGCGCCATTCTGGCACAGTTTAACGATTTTGAAAAACAGTGCTTAACTCATTTTACGCACTGCAAAACCGACCGCTTGCATGCAAAATTTCAAATTCTTCTATGCAATGGTTGCCGACATATGGATACTTTTTTGACAGAACCATGCCTCGCCAAAGCCAAGCTTTGACCAGCTCAAAGGAGCACTACCCAATTAAATCAATGCATATTTAACAATGCAGCAGTGCATCAGACTTGGTAATCAGTTAATTGGTAGAGATACACCTTTCTCCATACTTCCCCAGTCAGATATCTTATATGAGATCTGAGTTTTTTCAATAAAGAACGCATTTTTACCTAGGTATACCTTTAAAACTGAAATATTCCATATTAAATGTCAAGTCTGTAGTTAATTAAAATATGGTTGTATTGAGTTAAGATACATATCTGAATTATATGCACCAAGTATCTAACTGATTATGTTCTTATAAGAATGTGGTTACCCAACAAAAGTTATCCAGTTAAATCAGACACAAACACACACACACGGTATTATCAGATATATATAAAAAACTCACAATGGAACGAATGGTCCATGGCTTGATGGTCACCTAGAAACATAAATAGGAAACTTTTCGTCACGTTTCGTCAACCGTTATGTGACCGTTAGGTATTCTGTATTTTATACTTCATGTAAGATTTTTTCATTACTACGTGTCCAGGTGTTATTAACCATCTTAATCTTTCTTGTCCATTAGAGTTGTAAAGGATTAGTATTGGCTATAAGAAAACACAAATTGCGCCAGTCCTTGCGATAATTCCTTCTGCCCTAATCACTCTCATCCGGCGGTTTAACAAAGACACCCACCCCTCTCCTGTTGCAAAGAGTCCTATTCGTATATCTTATATGCAGTTCATTTATTTCTGCTATACTTAGATGGAAACAAATATGCAAGAAAGTAAACTGGACAATACACACATTAAACGTGAGAGATAATTTTGACACACTTACTTATACACTTAAAGTTGCCACATACACGATGTAAGTTGCTCACGCCGTGAGCAATCATATACTGATATATATAATATAGGACATTCATCTATTCATATTCGGGACATCAGCGGCCAGTTTTCATTATTGTTATAATTATATAAGTATCGTTACGTTTTTCAAGAAATATATTGTATGTTATTAGTGTACATAGTTTTATATGTATAATGTCTTACCTTAGGTGGAAAAGTAAAGGTCACCTAACGGTAAGAAAGAAATTAAGCTCTTAAAATGCGAAAAGTTTTGGTAAACGTACACGAAACAACTCTACTTAAAACATAATGATGAATCACGATTTTGTTTAAACAAACTACAACTTAAAATTTAAAGATAATAATATGTGTGACTGTACAAAAATGTTTATCAAACATGACAAACTGAATCACAAGGTACGAGTGCTCGTTTAAAATGCCTTTTTTGCTGTATAACTTACTTTTGGTGGCACCGTCCAGGGTTTAATGGGTTTCTGAAATAAAGAAATCTTGTCCATTTCACAAAAATTACATTACTCGAGTGCTCTTGTGAGATTATAACTGCATGGAGTGCCCAGCATATGGATCTACATGCGAAAGCTACCGATGTTCTGCACGTTTTTACCAGTTTACACACGGTTGCATGCACAAACAAGGACTCAAGGTTTTTACTTCATATTATTGAGAAAAAAAGGAGAACAACAACAACAGCAACAACAACAACAACAACAACAACAATAATAATAATAATAATAATAATACACAGCATAACTTACAATAGAAGGTATTGTCCATGGCTTTATGGTCACCTGGAAACATAAATGGGAAACTGATCGATCGCCATGTTTCATTAATCATTCTGTGGCGTTTGGTATTCTGTATTTAACACTTAAATTTAAGATTTTTTTATCATCATGTGTCATGATGTTATAGAACCCCACAACGTCTACAACTTACCTTTGGAACTGGTGGAAAAGATCGTATTGTGATCTGCAAAAAATAAACAGGTGAATAAAAAGAATAGTAATGCACCAATTATATTGTTGTTATCATATTGTATTGTAGGTCATGATTATTTATGTACCAGTACAGAAATAAATTGTATTGAATTGAAAATTGATAAAAAAATTAAAACCAATAAAAATGAATAGATAAAGTTATCAGAAACCCTTTCATACATTTGACCCACACAACATGCGCTCTCATGTCATAAAAATCATAATGCAAAGGAATCTAAAGTTTACTTATTTTCTTAAACATTTCTTAAAATTTTACATAAAAATCTTTCAGGTTCCAGTGGACTTCCCATCGGTGACTGTCTCTAAGCCCATCGTAGCAGTTTTTGTTTCTCACAAGTTTCTCACAAAAGTGTCAGTTTGGAATCCAACGCACCAACTGTTGGGACTGCTACTTTTATGATAATGCATTCCCAATAAAACCATAAGACCAAAGCACAAAAGTTGAAAACCAAAGCAGAGAGAGAGTGCAGACATACACCAAGACAAAAATTAAATAAATAATCAGCAATTAATCATTGGATCCTCACCAAAATCTTATCTCTTTTCACAAAGCCCATTTTACCCTATCCTGAAAATTCCATCAAAATCCGTTCAAAACTTTTTGCACAACGTTGCTTATGGACAGACAAACTGACAAAGTATATTGTAACAGAACCAATAATATAACTTCTTGTCGGTGGAAATTATCACATTGGTGGCAAAACATTACCTTATAAGGCGCTTCTTTCAAATGAGCTAAGGTGTACTTACCTTTGGAGGGAACGTCCATGGATATGGACTTATCTGAAAAAGGAAAACGTCCTTCAATTGCCAACCTTTTACAATAGTAATTAGGTGGCAGTTATTTCAAGTTAAAATGATATTCTCATTTTGAAAAGACGAATTAATTACCTTAATGAGATTAAATTCAATAATTGCTACCGGGATATATGTAATGAATTTTTAAATGATAAAAATATGTACATTGACACAAGCAAACATACGTTTATATAAACGTTAACAGCAAAAACGAAACATCGCTTACCTCACGTTTATTTCGAAGCTGGAATAAATGCATAAATCGAGTCTCCCATTGCTTTTGTCCAAGGGAGAGCACTGAAATTAGACATTTGCTTCGAGTGTTATCTGAGATTTCAGCAGCCAATATTTGGATATGTCCACAATGACCAAATGGGGGTCACAGAGGCTCACGTGCCTCTTTAGTTTCGGGGATGTCCATTTCTTAGTCTTATACATTCCTAATATATAATGTGTGTGTATGTGTGCGTGTGTGTGTGATAAGGTTGACCTTATTTTATGTATAAATATGCAACAGTCATTTACCGTGTACATCTTGTGCCCCCCTTTACAGCAAAATCTGGGATCCGACAGAATTTCCCTGCCAACGTACGTCTATGTACAGTGTGACTCATTGGGGTTTCAATAACATAACACGGTGAACAGCTTTTTCCATTTATTAAGCCGTCAAAACCAAATGAAATCTCCCCAATGAGACTATAGCGCTTGGGTCAGATATTTATAACTATATAAATAATGTTAATAAGGCTAACTACCCAGCTCATTTTGACGGGTTATCAATAAATCCTACCTGAAGTAAGAGCTTATCACTGGTATATTGAAACAGGGGTATTTGTTAGTTATTCTTTACAAAAATTGCACTCACAAGTTGAAGGTTTCCGTTCACGGATCACATTGCTCCCAACAAACACCGCTGATGCATAAACTAGCAAAATGATGAAAATCCAAGTCATTTTGCTGTTCATAAGTAAGGTGAAGCGTAAAGGTCCGATGTTTATAAAAATGTCCTCTCCAGGTGTTCGCGCAAAATTGAATTTCCTTAATAAAAAAGTAAAGGTCTTCCTTATCACGAATTATTGCTTGGCACGACTTTACACTTAAACTCGATGAAGTGCACGTTATCTGGCCTTGAATTTATTTATGCCACACAGTTTTAGATCACTCCCGTCCTTGTTTCTGTCCTTTCATGACCCCCAGCTGATTACGTCCATAATCAAGTCTATGGCCAAGCCTCTTCTTATACGTGAGCTAATTCACGGGAGGAATGGGGGGGGGGGGGGAGTCAAACATATGCCTTCTTAGTTTCAGCGGTACTCATTTCTCATCCCGTAGCCATTGTGTTAAGTTAAAGTAAAGTGAAACGAACAAAATAATAATAATAATAATAATAACTATTTCGTTTTTGTATCCTACATATTAAAATTCCTTCCGTCTACAATTGCATATTTGCCGAAGGAAGCGATGCAAAAAAATAATAACTTCTGAAAATACAGTTTTGTATCCTCAGGAAAATCCTAGTTTCACCAGGTAAGGAAATATTTTTGCCTTTTTTTAAAAAGATAAATACCATTAATTAATATTATCAAAATAATCCATCGCCCCCTCCAATTGCCAATATCCTTGGCACAGTTTTAAAACGCTCCCAACTCGGAGCTTTAAAACAAACGAAGAAAGCAACAAGGCCATAAAATTTGATAGTTGTGATTGAAATAAGTTGTAAATAAGCAACCAAAATAGCAGTTACGCACAACGATCGTGAGTGTCGATATTTCAACTTACAGGTAGTACCTATTTCTGATTTATCAATGTGCCCTAACGTTGGCAGCCGGAAGTTTTTTAGATAGCTACTACAACTAACTGAGTGGTTTATTTAATGTTTAACTATTTCTGTCATAAAGCCATGAGATGAGGTAAATAGGACGTTATGAGAAGACGCAGTGTCCTCAACTCGAGTCCAACGGGCTTTCTGCCGGGGGAGGGGCGGGGAAGAAAGATTAACTCCCTAGCACACTCCAATTGTCAGTTTAGCAACGACCAGGGCCAATTAAAGAGAATAACTTTACACTCAAATTTGGCCTTAACGCTTTGACTATAATTTTTCTATCCCCATTACTTAAAGTTCACGATAAAAGTGTACATGTTCTCTATAACATATTACTTGTGACTATCGGTCTGAAACAATTGCTTTCTTTATATAAAACTGACATTTTGTGACACATAAAGCGATAACTACTGATCCATTTTGGGTCAAATGTGAAGTCTGCACGTTTCAATCAGTCTTTCCAAAGCTCTTATATGTAACAGACCCCGGCCTGAAACTTAACCAATATGATTAAAAATAATTGAATTTATACGTCTTATATGAAGAAACTGGGAGTCTGTGTAACGCTCTCCAAAATCATACAGGTTAGGGTTATCTTGAACGTAAGTGGGTCTCATACAAATTAATGGGAACCGGGAACTATATTACAGGGCCTCTTTCGTTCATGACATCGAGTCCAAGAGTGTTACGTAAAGCTGAAAATAGATTTCATTTCTTTCTCCTCTTTTTGAGACAAGCCCATTTTACGTCACTTTAGAAAATATAGATGGGCGAAGTGGCTTGTAAACAACTTCTTAAATTTTCAAGTGATCGAATGAAGGTGTTTTCGTATATTTTATGGTTTGATTGTTTTATTGATAAACCATCAAAAGCCATTGGGATGTGACGGGAAGCGTATAAAAGAACGTTGAGAGAATATCTGTATTCAATTGCACCGTTGAGATGACAGCGATCTGCGTATTTACCGTATTGATTGGCATATTTGGTCTTATTTCGTCTGATCCAGGTAAGTCTCTGTCCCTATGTATCGTTTTTTTGTGCATTTCAAATTTTTTCTTCGACGTTTCATCTCTCTCTCTCTCTCTCTCTCTCTCTCTCTCTCTCTCTCTCTCACACACACACACACACATTCATAATCAAATGCGCAACCCGCATATCGTATTCGGGATATAAAAGGAGCTAACTTCCAGATTCGTTTACGTTTGTAGACCTTTAGCTATGGTTTCCAAAAAAAAAAAAAGGAATATATATTTTGAAAATGGCTGGAAGCTAATTTGCTATTTTAATGCGCAAAAAATTGCCTCAATTGTGACAGTCAAGAATCTTCATTCTAGTCGGACAATGCGACCCAAACCGCATCAGCAACCAGTATCTCCGTGACGACAGCAACGCGTGCGCATTCTACCAATGTGAATATCACGGCACCAGTTATCTTCGACCCACGTTCCACGCATGCGCACCCGGCACAAAGGTGCCAGAAAAGTACGGAGAATCCGCCGCGTATCCTGACTCCTCAAACCCGTGCGTCCTGCGAGTATGGAACCCAGCTGACTGCAGACCCAGGCCGTTTTGGAGCCCGTGGGGGGATTGGAGTGCCTGCTCAAAGACTTGCGGGACAGGGGTTGCCACAAGAGAAAGACAGTGTAATAATGGGCCCGGATGCCAGGGGGCGGGGACCGAGACCAGATCTTGCACCAATTCTCAGTCTTGTGAGTATTTATTTTACCACATCTATAACAAATGAAAGCCTGTATCTGGTGAAATTAAGATATTTACTGGTTAACTTAAATCGTGCCGATAAAAATGAACATTTAGAACGCGATATGGGATTCTACATGGCGATTTTTTCAACGGTTTTGGATGCTGTTAACCTTGGCGATAAAGAGAAAATTATGAAATTCCGAAATTCTGCTCTAATGGTCGATAGTGCATTTTGTGTCTTAACAATATTTCTAGCCTCATATTGGAATTTTGCCAAACTATAGAGGCTTCTGACGGACATCGTGACATTTTACAAGGTGTTTTTTTCGTCTATTTATTGCTGTATATCATTACGATGGGATCTTTTATGATAACCGTAGAGGACGAAGTTTGTATTTGCCAAACAAGATTATGTCCACGAAATGGTTTAAGCATACATTTATTACAGATATATTTTGGCTGATAATTAAGACTGGAGATGTACGTTTGTTCCAAAATGAAACACTTATGCTAGAATCCACTTATCGTTTTCTTGCTTAGGTTGCCCACCTGGGTTTGCTGTGTTTGGTAACTCCTGTTATTCGTTTATTACCGTGTCCGGGAGGTCGCCATCTTGGGCGTTGTCCCGGGCAATTTGCCAAAATGCGTCCGCTGACCTCGTTTCCATAGAGACCAGCGAAGAGCACGAGTTTATCAAGAATAACCTAAGACGTAAGTAAATAAATGTTTCTACTGTATATGACTGGCAAACTCCTCTCCTCGACAAAGAACAAAATTCTCAAAACAATAAGAGCTCGTTCCGAAACTAAAATGCGAATAAATTTTTTGTCTTCATTTCATCATTAACTTATGTTAAACTCAGGAATCTGGACAATGGCCGATCTGGGGGTCACAGCGGGCACGCATCCCTGTTTTGTGTTGCCTGCTTAAGGCATTTCCCAAAACAGGGTCCTAATTAGTAAAATTACCCAGGTCTGCGCCTGTACGTGGAAAGCCACAGAAAATAATTTCAAACATTGCTTCCCAATTTAGCAAAACCATGAATTTGTCAATGTATCAGATGTGATCTTTTAAATTTGATTTTATATCGGCATTTGGGTGTAAATTATTTTGTTATTAAACCTATCAAAATTTCACTCAGGATAAAATCCATTCTTCTAAATAAATACTTTAATTTCATTCCAGCCATCACCCCACCAAACAGGTTCATTGGATGGTACGTGGGGGGTCGGCGTCTTTCGATTAACCCCGTCACTACACGCACAGGGGCGCCAGTGAACTCGAGGGAGGCCCGCAAGCTCCAGTTTTTCTGGGTACCTACAGGGCAACAAGTGGCTTATGATGGCTGGACGAAGGCGGCGGGCGTGCCCGGAGACTATCAGCCTGACGGGAACGGTCCTTGCATGGTCCTCTGGATTGGAAGGCGGGATTTTGTCGACTACGAGTTTGATGATTACAGCTGCAATGGCAACGTGGGTGGCTATGTGTGCGAAAAGGCACTGGTTTAGCTATGAGGATAGCATACACGTGCGCCATCAATTTTGCAAAGTATCTCTAGCGAAACTATCTTTAAAGGAACTCCCCACGGGAATTATCCGCAATGATGAATTTTCCAGGGTTAAAGGGAAATTTTATACTAATTACGACTCATCCTCAACCTTTCCCTGCCTTTGTATTTGGTGTCTTATTCCACGTTTAATTTCATTGATTTAGTTTTTAAATGACTGGCCAGTCCAGTAGAACGACATAGCCTTCGCGATTTTCATCTTCCTGGCCTCGTTTTCAGACAGGAAAAAGGGCTTGATGTTTTGTATCGCGGTCCTGTATCACTGTAATACAGACTTTGCGAGCTGCTATAAAAGCTGAGAAGACAGTAGCGACACTAGGTACGCTTCAGATAAACTTTTATTTCCCATAATTTAAGGGGTTTTATCGTCGTTAAGGTCAAATTGGGAAATATAAGAAACTTTCAAGGACATAAATTTGAATCTGAGGGGTTTTCAAACGCACGGAGTGTTCCTTTATTAACCGGTACCACTTTTTATGTGTTGTTATAATTAAGGCTTCAGGAAAAACGAGAGGTTGATTGTATCACTATAAATCTGCCAATGCCAATTGAACAAATTAAATTTGATATGGATTTATTTAAAGAAATTGAACGAGTGTAGCCTACATGTAAGTCACCTTACCGTTCCAATTGTAACGGGTTTAGAGAACTGTTTTTCTGGATGCATGGTGATACTGTGATGATATACTAATTCGGGAGCGCATAAAAAAATACATATTTGATGTGATCAACATAAATTGACTTGTAAAAATTATTACTGAAAACAGAAAATGGTGATATGCATATTGTGAAATATTCATTTTTCTGAAAATAAAAGCACTCAGCATGGGAGAAATTGCTCTGTAAAATTTTCCACCCTGACCTTAAATGCGACTGTTAACATTTACAGTACTAGCGCAATTTCTTTTAACTATAAATATTGTGGCTAAAGCTTTACACGTGCTTTTGTGAGCACACTGAGAAAAGCCCGACGCACGTAGCAGATATTTTTTTACAGGCCATACTGCTGGCCTCGCAAATAAAGTAACGACCTGCCTTTAACATTTTTACTTTTTTAAATGGTAAAATAAGACGAAGCTCATTTTAGACGAAAATATCTATGCGTACTTTCTCTGTGCCAATAACTGAACAATCACACCTGTTCCAAAACTTTATGTATAAAAATTTCTTTGTGGTTCAACTGGGGTTCGAACCCAGGACCTCTCGCGTGTGAGGCGAGCGTGATAACCACTACACTATTGAACCTGACGAAACCATTTTAGAAGTTAATAAATGGAAATAAAAAAGCCATTCGACTGTGCTTGAAATAATACAGCAACATCCAATAAAACTTGAAAAAGCATCCAATTTTGCAACGTTTACAGTGACCGACTTAAGTATAATGTAAGCGTTTGCCAAAAAAAAAAAAATAAAATAAAAATAAATAAAAATATATAATAATAATTTTCTGCCGTGCATACATTCAGTGTTCAGTTACTAAATGAAAAACATTCAGCACATGTCATCTAATGGGCGATGTCATATTTGAGAGTTTGGGGTAAAATTGAAAAAAGGGTTTCTCAAATTTCTCCTTTACCTGAGCACCTTCCAACACCGTTTTAACGCCAATTAAATGCCGCCATTTTTTGCTTATCATATAGCTGTATAGTAATCAAAACTTATCCAGGGTGCAGCACAGTATGTTTTTACGTTATTATTGTTCTGCAATGCCGCATCTCCTTAGATAAACGCGCCCAGATGTTTAAGTTCCTATTAACCTGTTTACGGCCAAACCTGCATAATGGCACGTAAGTGTAAGCGTGACGACGGGTGGGTTTCCCGTTTATATTGCGTGGGCATGTATTTTATGCGACTATTTAAATCAACGCAGGGCTCCCAGGTGCTCGTTGCAGTTCTGACGTTCATACTTTTGGGGAAGAGCCTGCAGCAGGATGAAAGCGTTTTTGCTGTGCGTCGTTGTGTGCGTTGTTTGTGGCATAACGAAAGAGGCACGGGGTGAGTTTTTCTTTTTTTTTTTGCGTGTTTACCAAAAGTAAGTAAATAGTAACCAAAGCAGTCTGTCAACATACTTTCTTAACTGAACGTTTGTTTTTTTTTTAAATTCTATAATGATTTTTCTTTTCGTTTTAGATTTTAAAAAAGTTTGGGCTTGATATAGTTGGTATTAACAAGATATGGTGAAACTAATAAGTTAAATTGACATACTACTCAGAAGAGAAAATTAAAACATACTGACAATCATAATGGACAAACTTAACAATCGAAAAATATCAAGTTCCATTGTATTATAATTTTGAATTGTTGCCAAAAACGATTTCTGATTGTAATTTGAACAGTAACTGTTTGAAAATTAAAGCAGTTTTGATTATAACAATACGACAAATATGGTTGACTAGGTATTATGATACCATGGTCATATATTCCTAGAGATCAAAGAAAAACAAATTCATGATGAGTGCTAGAAAATGAGAAGCGAAGGCGTCAGGGGATCAATTTTAATTTTTTTTTTTTCGTTTAGGGCAAAAGTGTTAGGGGACCAACATCTTATCTACATGCTTCATATGAAGTTTAGCTTTACGGTCTTTATATTTTTTGTCCATCCCCTAAAGCTATTCACTTTCAAAACCCTACAGAGCTTAGCGCTGGGAGTTACGCATCTCGAAATTGACCCGTTAACAGAGGTCGGGCTGATACCATAAAAGAACCGACGTTATTTTAAGGCCTATCCTACCCGCTTAACGTTGCAGATAAGCGCATATCTAATCCAGGCTGCACAGCAAACCATGTGCTCTTTTCCCTTTAATTTTGCCCTACGGTATATATAGAATAAAAGGTGAACTAAGGTGCTTTTCGAGCCAAAACTCATATTTAACAAATTATCCCAAGTTAAAAGGCATTTACTCCTGATTTACCAAGCTTTTACCTTCATTTCCTGACACTCAACATAACTATTTATTAGTTTGGAAAAAGCCAAAGATCAAAACCCGCGCATAAGAGAGGGTTCAAATACGTTATTTATTCCATTGACTAGACTTCTAGCGCTGTGATTCGCGCTATTTTCCCTATGCGTCAGGATGACTGACTGTTGGGCAGTGGGGCAGAGAATTTGATTATTTTTTGTGATATTGAGTAAGGCCATTTATGTTATTTTATGTTTAAGAAAAGTTTTAATTGTCCTTAGATAAGTTAAACAAGAAGTTATCCATGCACGCAGAATACGTTAAAACCCTAAATTGTGTGCCTTTCACTATTAATAATAATAATAATAATAATAATAATAATAATAATAATAATAATAATAATAATAAACATCTCACAGTAATAGCAATGATCATTATGGTGTAGCCTGGTAATTGAGACTACAAAGCTACGTCTACAGGTCAAATTTCACCGTAAATACATCCCAAAACGAGGAAAAGGCATATGTTTTATAAGAACTTAGAAGGGCTTCAACCTAGAAGACTTGTGAATAAATTTACGCTTCTGTAAAATACACTGTAGTTGAAACACAAATGATTTGCGTGCTGTGTATGATACGCTTAATGATTTAGTTCGAGAACAATTTAAGTACTTTTGTGTTTTAAGCTAAGTTGTTGGTTACTAATTAATTAATCGATTTATTAACTAACTGCTTACTTAGACTCTTTGGTCACTATCATAAACGGGCCTCTTTTAGAAACATATACATGTTGAGTGTAATACAAAGCCAAAAATGACCATGGCCTATATTTAAAAGTTACAAATGAATAATTGTTCCTCCTACACCTACCTCTGCATATTTGTTCAAAAATGGTGAAATAATATAGTCCTCTTCAATTATTTAATTTAAGGTTCCCAAGTACAACCCAAGCCCAATTCCCGCCTTCTTTCCGTACTTCGCGGCATTGACTCACGGGCTATCTATGTAAGTAACTCTTTGTTTCTTTGTGTTTTTTTGTCTGCATACATACTTTTATATTTGAGGACTGTTATTTTTGCATATCACTTTTAAAATTCACAAATCGTTTACTATAAATGTAGGCATGTGACACAGGCTTTAATTATAATTAGATGATACTATATGATAATCGATTTACATGATCAGAGGAATGTTTATTCAAATCTTTTAATTTTAACTTCTATGTATATATTTGTATATGTATTGGGAAATATTTCAGACAATCACGCCATGGCCATGGCCCATCACACTCACACCTCGGGTAAAAATCTAAATTTTCACATCTAAATTAAACTTTCGCATCTTAAATCTCGGGTGTCCCTTAACTTCTTTTGAGTAGTAAAGATGCAATGGTACCACAAAAAAAAAAAAAAAAAAAAAAAAAAAAAAAAAATATATATATATATATATATATATATATATATATATATATATATATATATGTATATATATATAAACTAAATAAGTAAATAAAATAAATATAAAAAAATAAAAAATAAAAAAATGAATAAAATTGTCCATTGCAGTTTGCTTAACTTTTGAAATGTTATCAACTTTTACTATAAATGTGTGTTTATTAACATAGTTTATTTAATTTTCTTACTTCTATGTATTTATTTGTATATGAATGGGGAAATATTCCAGACATTCTACCCATGGCCATGGCCAACTGTGGTAAGAACCTATATTTTCACATTTGTAACAAAAAGCATTTATAAGGGATAACAATTTGAGTAATTTAACTGAATTGTGAGATACTTAAACAATGAAATACCTGCAAAAACTACATTTGAACTCGAGAATATAGTTTTTATGATAGCCTGTTGATAATCGGTTTACATGATCAGAAATATGTTTATTTCAATATATTTCTTTTTCAAGATATATGTACTCTCACACACACACGTATATATTCAAAATACTATTATATATATATAAATATATTCAAAATATTTCAGCCGCCCAATCCATGGGACTTGGGAAGATAAGGTGAGAGTCCATGTTATCATATTATATAACGTTTTGAGGTATTAAACTGAAGTGTGAGATTTTTAAACTCTTAATTATACTAACCTGTAAAAATCTTTATTTGGAGTCGAGATCGGCTTAAGCCTAGATTACTTTTGCCAAGGCACTTAGTGCAGATGCCGAACTCCCTCCGTGAGGCTTTCTTAAGGACCGATAAGGTCGGTGCCTTTTAACACCTACTTGATCAAAATTAGCTAACGTAGAACATCAAATTTATGCAAGAAATACTAAGATTTTATCATGTTCACTATTGTTATGACAATTTATGTCTTCTAAAACCACCAATGTGGAAGTGAAATAGACCAACAACAGTATCAGTGATCATAGCAACCACCCCAAATCAACCGAGCCATGCCCACAATTGCACTATTTAATGCCATGTACGGTATTGCAACGGTTTATGGGCATGCCAATTAAAAACTTTGTCAAAGGATTTCCTTTGACAAAAATGAACAGGCTGCGGGGACCGTGGGACCGCACGACCTCGTATGAGTTTGTACGGTCACCGCCCGCCTCCGCACAGACGCCAAACGCAAATAGGATTACCGGACGTTATAATAACGTGCAACGAACGGCCGTCGCATGGCAAATGTAACCTAGGCTTGAACAATGTCCCTAAAATGAAACCCTGATACTTCAGTATATTATAGGTAAAGATTTATTATGAACAAAGCAACCCTTATAAAGCGATTCAATCCATAATATATTAATGTTCGTCTTTAATTCAACATTGTCATACAAGTATCATCAGACTTGTAATCAAAACCATCCTGTTCGCCTATCCCTCTACATTGTTATACTAGTATAATTAGACATCAATTTACAGGTGGACCTGGCGGGGAAGATCAGCGACTTGTTGGGAAGATCGGCCCAATAGTGAATGGAATAATGTCAATCAGTCCAAGACAAAAATAAAATGAGCAGCAGAAAATATATTTGCATTTGTTCCGTGTTATAAGTATTTGTATGTATTACAGTTTCTCACGAGATGCAAAACACCGCTTCTTGATATTTTGCCGCGGAAAACCTGATCACCGACGTGGACAGAATTAAAGTGTAGACACCTGTGAGTAAACGCCCATTTCCGCCCATTATGTAACTATCCCATCCCTACCTACCCTTTAACAGGACCGCAGAAAAGTTTTGTGCATTTGTATCCAACGCAGAGGGATGTGCAATGGATTTCATTGACAGATTCATGGTCTAAGACTAAAATAAAATGACAGCAGTAATTATATTCGCAGTTTTTCCGTGTTATAAGTACATGTATATGTTGCAGTTTCTCATGACATGGCAAACATCGCTTCTTGAAGATCTGACAACTGACGTGGAAGACCTGACAACCAGGGGCATCGTCCTCCTGGTCTGCAAGTCAATGGCATTGCCCTATTTCATTAACTCAAGGAGCATATTAACTGATGAAATGCACCATATTGTTGTTGAGGTGATGCCTTAAATGACCATCAAGCTCATCCTGTGAGGTTTACACCATTCACAAATACGCAATTTTTTTATGTCGCTTTTTTGTTTATTTTTTCCGTTTTGTGTTTAGTTTATGCTCGGCGGTTTTCGAAAATGACTCGTGCGTTTTCAACCCACTACGTGCGCATTTTAGTAGTAGTAGTTTAATGGCATTTGTCTTCATTCTCAGCACTTCCCAACAGCCGATGGCCTTTCTGATATAAATTCTGCTATTGTAAGACTTGTCACTTCCTCCTTTTTAGGTCCCTTGTTACTCACTCGAGTTCCAATGGAAAGACATGTTAAAATCAATAAATATTATATATATATTACCCCATATCTAACTGACCGAATAAGACAATGAGTTTGTAAGGCAGTGTAGGAGGTAGATTTTGTTTACCTAGATCGTTTTAAAACGCCAAAGTGTACCCTCCAATATAAGGTGCTTCTAAAATAGTATTGAAAATACAAGTAACGCCCCCTGCAGGAATAGCCCAATCCACTCGTATGCAATTTTAAACCATTCCGCCCCTCTGGCCACCCAGCAAATGTAATAAACAGTAACTATTAAGTTTTTTTAAAAAAACAATTGGTTCAACTGGGGTTCGAACCCAGGACCTCTCGCGTGTGAGGCGAGCGTTATAGCCACTACATTATTAAACCGCCACGTTCATCCCGATATCAGGCGCCTCTAATAGTGACTGAATTAAAGTATAGACCCTTGAAGGAATACGCTCAATTCAGATGTCTAGTGTATAACTATCCCACCCCTACCTACCTTTTAACAGGACCGTAGAATAGTTTGAACACGGAGGGATGCGTCATATAAATTACATAGCCAGAGACATACAGGGGGTATCTGCGAATATCTGGTGCAAAAACAATTTGTGGCCTTGGGACACTTGGTAGTGGGTACGTCCCTTAAATGGTGGCTCAACAACAAAGGATGATAAACAGTGCAGTTATGGATAATAACACGACCAAAGAACTACAGACACACATAAAAGACATTGTTATAGGTTACCATTAAAGAGATTTTGTACAATTACTTGTCTCCCACATCTAGGGACAATGTTCCACAATGACAAAACAGATCAATGGTGACTCCAGAACCCTGTATGATAATGCCCTTGTGTGATTCTAGGTATGAAGAATATTCTTGTTTGTTTTTACAATATTATTTTGTTTTCTAAATTAATAATAATTAATTATTATTTTTGTTGGGGGTTGGGGGAGGAAAAAGCACTTCACTTATTGTCCGAGTTTATGAGGGTCTTAAACACCAGGTCCAGCCAAAACTGCCGCTGCCGACATCTTAAATCTTTCTCGACTTTACTCCCATTGGTCTCCCACTCCAGATATGACCTGTCTGTCACGTTGTACGGAGGCCATCCGCCTGTCTTGGTAGGGGTTCTAAAGGGAAAGAAGAGATTGCATATTTAGTCCATTTGGGATATGATAAAAAAGCTAATTCCCATTGTTGTGGCACGAGAGAAAGCTACACATATTACCTTCAACAGGCAGTTTTGTTTGTAATTGTTGGTTTTGCAGTCGGTGGATTGTATAGTAAGCTTTATTTCCAACAAGTTAGATGGCAGTTCGGATGCAGGTTTGACTTACGGTGAGTGGGCCTCAACATACATTTCTAACGGCCTGTGTGTGTTTATATTTGTTTACAAACGCATGTGCCAAGAATGTTTAAATGTTTTACCTCAAAACAATATGAACCAAACCCTGTAGTGTTTATAAACGGCGCAAGAATGTTACATATGTATGGGATTAAAAAGCAATTCACCTCTCGTGAATATGGACTGATATATCCGATATAGCTGTTAACCACTAAAACTTACACGAAAGATTTCTTTACAAACAGCGTTTAAAGAAGCTAAACATTCACGAGGAAGTATACCTGTAAATTCAGGAGAATTCATCTTGGCAAGAAAATAAATAATGATCAGAAAGACCTCACGCCGGAAAAAAAACAATACGTACCCTTCCCGTGCAAAAGTTGTCCATGCATCCATCATTTGTTTGCTTAGTATCTTTTCGGCTTCACTCGGCTTTATGTCCCCAAACAAATCTGTATCCATGACATCGCCAAAAACAAAGTACAACTCGTCCATGTGAGTCGCTCCCGAAAAATTTGGCCAATGGGAAAATGACGGTCTGTGGTTGATATAATAGAAATACGTGTTCGTAACTCCAGAGGCGACGTCGGTGTAGTTGATGTGGCTACTAAGTGTAAAGTAATCGTTTAGTATATCGATATACGCGCGACGTAATTTCGCTGAGGTGTGTTGTAATCCACCTAAATATTCAAATAAAATTACTTCATGAATGTGGTTTACGTTGACAGGAAACTGTGTTTTGACATACGCCTCTATGGTCGGAAGGTCTACCATCTTATTTAGTTGGCCAATGAGGCCAAGAAAAAGGGTACTCTCATCTTTAACGATTCCAAGCATGATCGGCAAACCACTCAAATGTTCCGGATTAAAGTCTTCTTTTTTCAGAAAGTGCCCGTCCACGCGCGGTGCCACTATGGGGCCAAAATTTTGTTCTTTGTACTCGTGATACGCACGTTGAAGCTCAGCGACAGATTTACGTTTCATGCACTCGGTAAGACGGCGCTTGCTATCAGCACATAACATCCGGGCAATCTCTATACTATGGTGTACCACCGAATCCGAGGACAATGGGAGATTTGGCGCGGCATTCAAATCCAGCTGATAAGCCCCGCTTTGCAAAATAGCCCTATTAAATAATCCCCTGGACAGTGAACTTAGAGCTAGAAGAGATATTGACGCTCCACCCGCTGAATTTCCGAAGAGCGTCACCGAAGAGGGATCACCTCCAAAAGTTTCGATATTTTCTCTGACCCACTCCAGTGCCGCCACCTGGTCAAGAAGAGCCATGTTTCCTGGTCTCTCAGCGACACCTGTCGTGAAAAATCCGAACAGCCCTAGGCGATAGTTGAAAGTTACAACGATTACGTTACCAAGAGAAGCTAACATGGAACCGTCAAAATTCATCCCTGTACCCCATTCATACGCACCGCCATGAACGTAAACCAAGACCGGAAGGGATTGGGTAATTTCTGTCACGTGACCTGGAATAAAAATATTGAGGCTAAGGCAGTCTTCACTTGTTCTGTTATGTGGGAAGCGCCCCTTAATGTACTCTTTCGTGTAGACTACATCAAACATGGGACTCAAGTCCTGCATGCACATTGGTCCGAATTCCGTTGCGTCCAGTACACCGGCCCAGCAATCTACTTTCTTGGGAGGTTCAAACCGTAGCGCCTCGAGCGGGGGTTTTGCGAGCGGCACACCCAAGAACTGAGTGACGTCACTGCCGTCGTTTGCTGTAACTGTCTTTCCCCGTAGTTGACCTAGCTTTGTGTTTATCACAACTCCAGCTGTGTTAATAGTGCTATGACTGATGGCACAGGTCACTGATAACAGTAAAGGTATCAGGAAAACGTGCAAATAGCCGAGGGAAACCATTCTACCACTTATGTTCGATCGACTCCGGTATGGTGAAGCTGGTGTCATAGAATGTGGCTGCCTATCCTAGAAAAGAGACACCTGTGCATTTTTGTGACGAAACAGACGGTCCTAATGAGACTTCCAATCACTTTCTGCCATACCTTGGTAGCTACCTCATGGAGAGAGGCTAGAACATGCGTTTTAGGATGCGACCTTCACAACACATGGTTAAAACTACCTTCTCGCGCAGAAGAATATCTATTTCAGCTATAATTTGGATCCAGATCGGCCAGATCATACTCCGGAACGAGCTTTGTCGTTCTCTTGCATTAAGTCTGTCACCATAGAGGCAGCTATAAACTTGTTCCACATAGGCTGCATGTTCACTGTTCTCTCTTCCGGTTACACTCTGGTGTCCATGTATTTTATACTTATACAAATGACCTTCAGTCACCTACCTGTATATGCACAGTGTATATGACAAATAGATTAAAGGGTCGTATTTACGACTGTCTAAAATACTGTCCTATTTTGATGACCTTCCCGCAGGAGATACCCTGAGTGTCAGAGCACAGTAAAAGCTAGCTTGTTAAAAATATTGTGATGCGATCGCTTTTACTGGTAGGCCTATTGCTGATATGGGTTATATATGAAATCAAGACCGAGCCGGCAATAGCGGAATCTAGAGCCTAGGGTATCAGGAGAGAACTTATTTATCAACTTCAGTATACAGGTGAAGCTCCGCTGAACTTAAGTCACTCAGTGCGATTCATGCTATGATTATTTAANCGAGCTTTGTCGTTCTCTTGCATTAAGTCTGTCACCATAGAGGCAGCTATAAACTTGTTCCACATAGGCTGCATGTTCACTGTTCTCTCTTCCGGTTACACTCTGGTGTCCATGTATTTTATACTTATACAAATGACCTTCAGTCACCTACCTGTATATGCACAGTGTATATGACAAATAGATTAAAGGGTCGTATTTACGACTGTCTAAAATACTGTCCTATTTTGATGACCTTCCCGCAGGAGATACCCTGAGTGTCAGAGCACAGTAAAAGCTAGCTTGTTAAAAATATTGTGATGCGATCGCTTTTACTGGTAGGCCTATTGCTGATATGGGTTATATATGAAATCAAGACCGAGCCGGCAATAGCGGAATCTAGAGCCTAGGGTATCAGGAGAGAACTTATTTATCAACTTCAGTATACAGGTGAAGCTCCGCTGAACTTAAGTCACTCAGTGCGATTCATGCTATGATTATTTAAGTGTGAGATAATACACTGTCACCCGAGCGATATATGCCATAACACCTCGAGCGTCAGCGAGAGGTGTACATGGCATATATCGCGAGAGGGGGACAGTGTATTATTTGACATACATACCGAGAACAAATACAGTCATTTCATCCAAAAACCCCCCAAAAACCAAAAAAAGTGCCCCTATACCCCGCTCTAGAGATGTTATATGAAATAAACTCGTCCACGTGCGCTGGTCACCTCCCGCCATATTCTACGTAATACCTGACCAATTTGGTCATTTTTTGCTAAATACTTGTCATGAACGTTCAACTGGCGTGAAAAGTATTTAATCAATCGTCGAAACTGACCATGGGCGTCTCAGCTGAGCCACACCTAGCTGGATCTGCTGCAGAAAAAGGTTCCACGGCAAAACCTCTACTTTTATGTGACATTTCTTATAAACAAGGAGCGTCGGACCGGAATATAGTCAAACTTATTTTTCACAAGTGCAAAGGAGAAAGAAATTTACTTCTTGGTGATATTTCTGACAACGGGGCAGTTTCGGAATATAGTCATAATCAAACGGATGTTTATTTCAAGTTCACGGGAGTAATAATTCTAGTTTTTATTGTTATTTCTNTTATATGAAATAAACTCGTCCACGTGCGCTGGTCACCTCCCGCCAAATTCTTACGTTATACATGTCTGACCAATTTGGTCAATTTTTGCTAAATACTTGTCATGGACGTTCTGGCGTGAAAAGTATTTAATCAATCGTCGACACTGACCATGCGCGTCTCAGCTGAGCCACACCTAGCTGGACCTGCTGCAGAAAAAAGGTCCCAAGGCAAAACTTCTACTTTGAAGTGACATTTCTGATAAACAAGGAGCGTCGGACCGGTATATAGTCATATTCGCAAGTGCAAAGGAGAAAGATATTTATTTTTTGGTGATATTTCTGACAACGAGGCAGTTTCGGAATATAGTCAAAATCAAACGGATGTTTATTACAAGTTAACGGGAGTAATAATCCTAGTTTTTATTGTTATTTCTGACGACGAGGCGGTTACGGAATATAGTCAAAAACAAACGGATGTTTATTTCAAGATCCCGGGAGTAATAATTCTAGTTTTTATTGTTATTTCTGACAACAAGGCGGTTACGTAATATAGTCACAATCAAACGGATGTTTATTTCAAGGCCACAGGTTTTGCTACGTTTTGGTGACATTTTTTACTACGAGGCGGTTTCGGAATATACGTGTGCTGGTTTCAGAGCATGGAGCATGCTGCATGTAATTACAAGTTCAAAGGGGGGAAATATTTGATTTTTACCGATATATCTGCTAAAGAGGAAGAATGAACAGTTTAAAAACAAAAGGTAAATAACACAAACCTCGTTAAAAAGTTATAGATTTACAAATAATTTGTACGTACGTGTGGCTTAAAACTAAATCCCGTTTTCAAACCATATCCATATGATGATGTAATAAAATTATAAATAATAATTGTTAAACGTGAAATGTTTATGCTAAATTTTTAAGAGTGTGAGAGATTTAAAATTTGTCTACTGGTAGGTATATAACGCAAACAACGTCACTATTCTCTTGATGCCAAATAATAATTCTTAAACGTGAAAGGTTTATGCAATTTTTTAAAGAGCGTGAGAGATTTTAAATTTGTCTACTTGTAGATATATAACGCAAGCAACGTCACTATTCTCGTGATGCCAAGAAGGTCTCATGATCAATCGGTCTTTGACTTCCAGCATTTAAGAGACCTAGACTGATTTAAGCAAGATGTAGTCGTGAAGTTTTCGAGGTTAAATCCTAGTATTCCGAGAGACGCTACGCAGAAATGTCAAGTGAAGCGAGATATTTTTGGGCAGCGGCTCGAGGTTGCCCTCGATCTTCACTGAAGCTTGCCTAAAGGGACAGGCTTCAGTGATCATCATATCGCCACGGTCACATAACATCCCTAGGTATGTATGCTATCTTAATATCCCCATTGAGCTTGCTTTGTGCAGCAAATCTTTCGGTAGATCTAAAAAGAAATTAAGACTGGGCCCCCATACCCTAGATCGCTCTAACAGGATCGATCCATATCCAAGGGATTTCTCGTTAAATTGCTTTCAGCTTCGGCGGCTTAGGTGTCTGGTATGCCTACTGAAGATGCTTAACGATAATTCATTACCCCCTAGACGCTTCAGGAGGCGTGACAGAGGTCTAAGCCGCTTAAGTTGAATTGAAGAGATCCATCCAGAGTTAGTACGATAGGGTCTGGGAATAGTTCCTTAGTCTAAATAAGACGTCACATTTAACTGTCAGGAATAACCATCAATAGAAGTATAGACCTAAAGAAAATCCAAAAAAATGTTAATCATACATACCTTTTTCCTTTGGCCTGCTTACAGGCTCCTGTAAATACACTAACTAAAACGTACCTTGCAAACCGGTTTTATATGGACGGCTTGTTTGTTGCGCCCTAGAAAAGGCCTAAATAAATATAGGACTCTTGCCTATTATGTTCGAAGGCAGAATTTAGGGCGCGCTGGTTATATTTAAACTGCTCTGTGTGCAGTTGCTGTATAACTATGCGCATTATTAACGGCAGGCAGACTGTATAATTTACCCAAAGCGTCCACAAAAAAGAATGTGGCCCCTTGTGGTGCTGGAAGGATTATGCTCTACTTTAAATGTGCCTCCTGTACGTCTCACGTTGAATGAAAATAAATGTGTTAAAAAACTCGGAGGCTGGCCTTTTACACTGGACGGCGTCCTTTCTGCGACTATGAAATTTGGCATCGCTGTGGTCTTAATAAGGAGGCACGAGCATTGATTTTGTATCAGAATGAATGCTCAATGATCGGCCAGTTGTCGGCACGTAAAGTATTATACTTTTTTAACTCTCAAATGGGGCCGTACTGCTGGACGCAGAAAGGACGCCGTCCAGTGTAAAGGGCGCTTTATTAAACGTTGTTGTGGTGGCGTGTGTGTGTTTGAGGGGTGGGGGTGAAATGGGGTTAGACCGAGGTAGGTGCTTTTGGCCTATTATCATTTTATTTTGATCAGCTTTAAAAGTGTCGATTCTTTTTATTTATTGATTATTCTAAATTAAGAAGAAAAAAACATTTAAATTTCCCCATTGCCTTCTGTTGTGACAGTTAAATTTCATTGAAGTTGATGGGATTGAATGATTGAATGTATGAAATACTATATCTCAGACAGTGGGTCGGGAGTCTTGTCGGGGGGGCTAATTATTTATTTATTTATTTTCAGCTGGCTCTGAATTACAATATGGTCAGGATTGCTGGTATGTTGATAATATTATGTCCACTTTTTCTAAAACATTGAATCCCTTTGAAATCCCTTTGAAGAGCTGTTGCTGGTGGGTAGGTGTGACTGAATGTAGAGTTTTGTTTTTTTAAACAACGTTTATTCAAAAGAATGAAGTGGAGGCAAGGCGCTGGAAGCATTATATGCTCTCCACAAAAATAAATTAAATAAGTAAATAAATAAAACAAATGGATAGGTATATACATATTTACAACAGAGTAAATGTAAAACTTCATATATATCAGGAGCACAAGTTAAGTACAGAAAGAAAGAAGAGGAAAAGAGATAGTACCTATTAAGTGATAACAAAGTTTACGAGAAGAAAATTTGCAACAGTGTCGAAGATAATTTCATTTTGGGTAGGTGATAAGGATTTATGACCGTAGAGAAATAACGACAGCTTTTCTTTTTGTGTTTTGAAAGAGGTCTTGCTTGCATGTAGAGTTTCATTTATTTTTTGGTAAAGGGGAGGGTACTTTGAATTGAGTAAAGGGCATCTGAAGAAAAAGTGAAGAGGGGTTTCAAGGGCACCACAGGTGCAGTGTGGTGAATGTAGAGTTTAAACCGTGACTAAATATATCGACAAAATAAAGACAACGAGTAGAAAAATGGATGTATACGTTATAACTATAGGTACTTATGGTACTTGAAAAATTATCCATCCTCTACTGTAAATACGTCTCCAGTTGGAAAAAGATCTGTTGATATACATGGTAAACCGGGGGTTGGTGTAATAAAGAAGGGATTAGCCGGGGGGGGGGGGGGTAGGGGTAGATGAAGTTGTGCTGTTGGTGGT